TGCAAATACACCATTTGAACGTTTGAAATACTGAATATGAAACAGTGGAACCATGAGCAGTCGTCAGTCAGCCATCACTATCAAGCAAAAGTGGTGCACTGAACAACAACAATCTGTCAGAGATCACAGACCTTTCACGTAGTCATTTACTTTGTTCCAAATGGGATTCATACGATCATTGGGATTGCTGAAGTCGAAACGCTCCATGTGTTGCAGTCCTTCGAGTTCTTGAACACTTTTCATCAAGTTCTGACTCTTAAAGAACGTGCCAGCCCGGTCTGAAACACGCGATTGCTTTCCTTGTTGAAGAGAAAGTAAGCAATTCAGTCACTGTTACTCAATTCTACCGAAGGAGCTTCGAATAGAAAAGCACGCAAATTCCCAGAGTTGACAACTACGCAAGAGGAAGAACTTACGGTCAAGAATCAAGGCCGGTACAACGATCGTTGAACCTCTTTGTCTTCGTTCGATGAATCTTGAAAGCAAAAACAAACTTTAACACATGTAACAATGACAATGGGGGAACCATGTACGCAGCGCTTAATGTGGTCAAGCGAAGGCTATCCTGCGGGTTACTGCATGAGCACAATCATGCGACTCGCCAAAAACCTAACCAATTGCAAAGTTCTGCTTATCATGATAACTAGAATCTAGTCCACAGAAGTGCTACAGATGAAATCTTCTTACAAAGCCCACGTGCAGCCAGAGTTCCCTAGACACGCAGACGACTACAGCTTGCAGACTTTAGCTGCCTCTATTGGAAAAGCCCATCCCTCAAAAAATATATCTACAGATCTATAACGAATGAGTTCACCTAACTGGATTAAGATTATGAAGAAATCTTCTATGAATACCTCACCTTGCTGAATTTAACCGCATTTTTCAGGACTTATTCATAAATGCGCAAAAAGAAACAAAAAAAACTAACTTGATTCCCTTGCGTGCTCCAGTGAAAACTTCATAGCCGCACCCAATGTCTGCAGGAGCTGACTTGCTGTACAAGCACCCCACACCATACTGTACGAAATGACCTCTATAAATAAAACTTGCTCACACTTCAACAAACGTCAAACCTTTGAACGCTGTTTTTCATACATAACACATCTAACATAATGGGCGGAAGTGGTGTAGTGGCAAGTGGCACGCTTACCACGCGAGCGGTCCGGGGATCAAATCCTGGGTCGTGAGTCGCCCGGGCCAACCAAGCCTTCCATCCCTCCGGGGTCGGTTAATTGGTACCAGACTTGTCTGGGAGGATAAAAACACTGACTTGTACATCGGCTGGCCCCCGCAAGTCATTGTATAGGCCACATCGCATTCAAACGCCACTACGAATGTACAAATGGAAGTAGAATGCGTGCCGCATCCCAAAAAGGGATTGATCAACGGCAAATGCTTTATCCTTTATCCTTTAATCTAACAAACTTCTATCTAAAAACGAAGTGTGGGCTTATGAAATCAGTGATGATGATGCATCAGATACAGTAATCGCTTCCGATACTAGCCAAACCGAAATAAATTAATGGGATTCTAACAGACCATTCCCACCTCGCCCATGCTTAACAAAGTTGCACCAGGATGCAAGGCTTTATTGAGAGATGTACCACACATTG